CATTATGAGCTCGATTTCTCTTTGTAGCTTCGTGCAAGTGAAAATCTTGATTTTTCCTTATTCGACAAACTACCATGGCATCCTATCACGAACATTACATTCATAAAACAAATGTACACAAGTATAATCCATGAATAAAAGGAAAAACACATATACCTCGGATTTTTCACTTGTGGAATATTCGTGCATGATCCATTCGGTTCTTTGTCCCTTTGGTGCTCGGCCGATATGAAATACTAGGGTTCTCTTTGTACCGATTATGTTCGAACCACATTTGACATTTCTTTCTTTCCCGGTCGCTTTCCAATAGCCAGATTGCGTTGCTCGTTTGCTCTGAGAACCATTTGGATACTTTCTTCCTCGAGGTGAGAAAAAGAACCACTCGCTATCTGATTGAATGATCGCTTGTGCTGAGTTCATTTGAAATGAAATCGTGTTATTAGTTTCTCATGGAAATTGACTTCTTAAATGAAAATGTGTGTTCCTTCCTCCATACTAAAATGACATCGTACTTTCATCAAGTCGGTCTTGAACTTTATAAAGCCTTACACAATATGTTTAAATTTTTACTTTGGTTGTTTTGTTTTAAATAAGTTCCTACATAAAAACATAATGTTACTAGCTATAGTAAAATGGCACGATAAACTAACTAATCATTTCATACATAAAAATCACAACAAAAGCCATCTAATTAAAACCCAACAAAAACAATACCCTAATAGCTAATGGCATAAGCATGCACACAACTAGAGAGTGAAGTTTAGGAATCTGAACCGTCAGATCAACACACACCTCCAGAGAGAGTTAAAATAAATCAACTCGGATAATAATAATAAAAATAAAAAGTCAGCTGACAACCTGGCAGATCCCAAGGCTCGTGTTTGCATATATCAACCTCGGGAATGACCTCGACACTCTTGTCCGAGCCTTGAAGCTTCATCTTGAGATAGTATTGAAGCAACTCTTCGTCCGAGGGCGAAAATCGAAATCCCGGAAACTTGGAGGACGCCTCTGCAATCGAAATTTCCATGGAGAAGCTTTTGCTCAAACAAGTAGTACTTCCTATGTTCCTAATTATCTCCTTTACATCATTTTTACTCATTCTTTTATATATCTTTTTTAGGAATATATTATTCTTTTATTAGACAAAAAAGAAACCCTATTTAGTTTCTTGGTATATTGTTTTTTGGTGAGTGAAAGGAAAGGATAGATTCTAATTATGAGGATGAGGGTGATGATGTGTCCACGTGTCAGTCTTAATTGGGTTGACCATTGTTTATTCTGCATGCAAATGACCTGGACTCTAGCAACGTAAGACTGGTGTTTTCTTTCCGGGAGGGTTATCCATATTTTATAGAAAATGCTACGGTCCCGTTACAGTACCATCCCATCGAGTGTTTTAACCGCTAAATCCACGTGTAGTTAGATAAGATATATGATCCAACAGTTAAAATACCTGCCGGGATGGTGCCGTAGCATTTCCATTTATTTATTTATTCATAGAAACAACAATAAGGAAAGGGAAAAAAACCATGGCCCAATAAGCAAAATTCTAAAAGCTGATCCACTTTGTTCAAGCCCAGGCTCAGTCCGTTAGAGTGGTCCAACATAAGTTTACAAACAATGAATGGTAGTGCTTGAAAATCTAACATTTGATATTTCACCTCATATTTTAATTTTAAAAATCATGTGTAGTAGATAGAAAAAATAAAAGTTCAGCTTTTGGGTGCAATTTAACGTGTGCTTTGCTAGTCTTGTTTTATTATTTCTTTTTTTTTTATTTATTTATTTTAAAACTAAATTTATAGTAATATTTATCTGATAAATAATTATTATGAGATAATACTATACACTTAGATGTACAAAATTAATATACAAAACATTTACGTATGTTATTGTTGATATTATATTTGGGCTTTGTAAATGATACTTGGGCTTTGTAAATATATTTGGGCTTTGTAAATAAGCTGTTGTCATTTAAAGTCCAGCAGCTTTAGTATTGTGTCTTTGTAAACCCTAAGTATAAATAGGGTGAACAACATCTTTGTATTCACTTTTGCTGTTTATCAGAAAAGAGTATTTTTTCTTGTTTCTCTCTATTGTTCGCCATCTCTCTCTCAATCTTCATCAGTTTCTTAGATTCAACATGGTATCATTCGCCGGACGACGGTCTCGCACCACCGTGCCGTGATTTTCTTTCCGCTGCAACTAATTTTTTTCGTTTTTTTTCTCATATTTTGTCTGGACGAAACCCTAGTTTCGATCCTCCTCTGAAATTTGTAGATCTACTACGAATCGACTCGATTCTCGTTTTTTTTTGCTGTAAATCGACTTGATGGCGGCTTCTAATCCGTCCGATGATCCAACTTCTCCATATTACCTTCATGCCAGTGACAATCCGGGAGCGTTGATTGTTGCGGAGCAGTTCAACGGAGAGAATTATGTCTCCTGGTCACGCGCCGTTCTTATGGCTCTCAGTGTGAAGAACAAAGTCGGTTTCGTTGACGGTACAGTGAATGCTCCTTCGCAATCCGGTAACCCTAGTCTCTATGTTTCATGGCTGAGGGCTAATAATTTGGTTCTATCTTGGCTTCTTAACTCGATTTCTAGAGAAATACGCCAATCTTTACTGTTTTTCACATCTGCTTATGATGTATGGACTGAACTGAAAAATCGCTATGTTATGAGTAGTGGACCACGCGTTTTTCACCTTGAAAAATCCCTTAGTACCATAAGTCAAGGATCTTCTGGCATAACTCAATATTATAATTCTTTCAAGTCGCTTTGGGATGAGTATGTTACGTATAGGCCAATTTTTAAGTGCAACTGTGGTGCTTTCACTTCCTGCACTTGTAACATCTTTGAATCTATGGCCATATCTCAGCACCAAGACTCTGCTATGAAATTCTTAGTCGGATTGAATGATTCTTACTCTTCAATTCGCAGTCATTTTCTCTTGTCTACACCTATGCCCCCTCTATCGAAAATTTACTCTCTCCTCCTTCA